GGGGCCGCCGCGAAATCCACATCCGACAATCTGATCTGACTGGCCACCCGCTGGCCCCTTGCGGTCCCTGGCCTGCCCAGTCTCGGGTCAGACAGCTGGTGACCCTCTCCGGAGGGGTCATCTGGGGACCAGCCAGACGAGGGACGCCCGGGGGGCAGGACAATTTGAAAGTTACTGGCGTGCTCGGCTCCTCCGCCAGGAAACTGGGGGGTTTGGGGTGGGGCGGGCTGCACTTTTCCAGTCCCCTTTCCCCCGAAGTTTGGAAGTTTGTTAGTCTGGGCGTCTGGAGAACTGAGTTTTTGCCCCCCCAAACCCTGTTTCCCGATTCCCAAGGTGTCCCTGGCGCTTTAGTTGATTTCTCCAGTTTCCTTTTTTTGTAAAGCGGGGAGCTGGCTTTCTTTCCGCCTCATTTGTGTGTGTATGGTAAATATACATAACAAAAACGGACCGTCTTACCTGCTTTTAAGTGTACAGTGGCTTAAGTACATGCACATTGTTGTGAATCGCTTCGTTTTTTAAAGCTGTGAGGACAGCCGGTCTGGAGAGAGACTGAGGACAAGGTTGTCCTAAACCCGCCTTTTTCCTCCCTGGGTTTCTCTGTCAGCTACACCGGGATGGCTGAAATGGATGTCCGGTGCCGTCTTAACAAATAAGCTATGCATCTGTGTGTCACTGATTTAAAAGAGACAGTGTTTATAAAACACTTGGCATGAGGGCAGCCCAAATCGCATTTATTACATAAGTGGGAGATACAGGTTTTTTTCCTGAGAAAAGCATTCTTAACTTTTTTTCTTTACATTTTATTTATTTGTTTGTTTGTTTGTTTATTTATTTATTGTTAATCGCCACCCCAGGATATTTTCCTCCCGATTTTTAGAGAGAGACACATCGATTGGTCACCTCCACATGCGCCCCGGGCGATCAGGGCCAGGATTGAGCCTGCAGCCGAGGCACATGCCCTTGACTGCCATCAAACCCTTCAGTCCACAGCCCGGCACTCTATCCACTGAGCTTTCATCAGGCATCCATGACCCCCAAAGGATTAGACACCCCTATTCTAAGATGAACCAGAGCCAGATCCAAGGGAGCCCTTGGCTGGCTGTGGGGTTGTGGAGTCTCAGGCTCCTCCAGCAGGAAGGAGTCATTTCCTGCCCTCCCTCCGTACACACCGCCCATCCCGGTGACAGACGACTTCGTCCCCGGTCCAGGTCCCTCTCTACCTTCATTGTAACTGTGGACCTGGGCAAAGGCGGCTGATGACAGCCAGTGTCTCTGTTGCACTTGGGTGGTTGTGCTAGATAAAGACTTTACATGATCTCAGTCATCGCAACATCCCGGTGGGTACTGTCACCACTTCCCTTTTACGAAGAGGGAACCCGAGGCCCCGAGAAGGCCTCCAATAGTAACCTGCCCAACGTTAAACAGCAAATGGCAGAATTGGAACCATCACTGGGGAAAGCAGGGCCCCTGCTCTTAACCACTGAGCTGGAATGCCTTCCCCTAAAAGGCCATTTGTAGATACTTGAGATCATAGTGGAGCTTGTGCCTGGAGTTGCTACATGCCCCACCTAGTCCCCAGGTGGCAGGAGGTGCTCCAATGGGCAGCAGGTAAGGTCAGCCTCCTCCCCACAGCTCTGAGGAGAGTTGCTAGTCCAGGGCCGGTTATTGCCCCCTGCGGGTGCTAATGAGGAGGGAAGTGGGAATAAAGTGAAACGGAGCGACTGGGGGTGGGCTGGGAGAGCTGCCTGAGGGCGAGCCTGGGAACTGTCCCTTCTCATGCAGGCTGATTTCCCAGAGAAATTCACTTACTGTCTGCCCCAGCATACTCTGTGAGACAATAAAAAAACCAACTGTTGCCCTAGCTGGTTTGGCTCAGTGGATAGAGTGTTCGCCTGTGGACTAAAGGGTCCCTGGTTCGGTTCTGGTCAAGGGCACTTGCCTAGGTTGTGGGCCAATCCCCAGTTGGGGGTGTGCAGGGGGCAGCCGATCAATGATTCTCTCTCATCGTTGATGTTTCTAGCTCTCTCTCCCTCTCCCTGCCTCTCTGAAATCAATAAAAAGATATTAATAAATAAACTGTTATGTGGTCTGCCCAGAAGGACATAAATGGGATCATCACTACCTCCCGGATCTATGCACAAAAGAGTTTTTACTTCTAATGAATAACCTTTGACTCTTATTTAGCAATAAACCCTCAAATGTCTTAATTTTCCTGGGTCTGAGGATGCAGAGGTGGGTAAGGCATTCTTATACAAAGAAGCAACTGGGCTGGAAATTTATAAACCCCTGCATTCCGAGACATCAGACCAAATTAGTTCAGGACTAAAATAAATGGAATGTGCTTCCCGTTCCTTCTCATCCGCTTTG